GGGGGGTGGGGAAATTTTTCATGCAATTTAAATAAAGGGTAGTTTTAAGTGGTCTGTTATTAGTGTGCATGAAAGATGGAATATAATGAAGATACAGTTTTGACATGAGAGAAACAGATTTTTCAGTTTGTCAGTTACCAGCTTAGTAACTTGGTGGCACACTGGCAATAGGTCATAAAAAGGAAATAAAAATCAGGTTCTTAGAATGAAGTTAGGAATAGCTTACTTATATGACTTAAGGAAAGCAAACAGAACACCAAAAGCTATCCATATGAAATGGACTTTGATGCAAAAGTTATATAGTCATGAGAAAATATAGTGTGCTTCCTTCCATAGGCTGGGATTGTTCCCCTAAACCCCCCTCCAAAAAAAAAAAAAAAAAAAAAAAAAAAAAAAAAAAATCCAAGAGCAATGTCAACACAAGTACGAATGAAAAATACTTATTTTGTAAAATCCCACTAAAGAGAATCAAGTGAGTGGTGGTAGAAATAAGTATTTTAGGTTCACAATAGTTTGCTCTTACACCCATTTATAATAGAACAGAATTGCATATAGTGATTTTATGGGTGGATTCCACAAGCAACCATTCTCTCAGGACAAATCAGAAGCAGATACTCAGGACAAATCAATGGTATGCAAGTCTGTGCCTTAACTTTCACTTCTGATCAGTGAGTAAATAATGCCCCCCCCCACACACACACACACAAAACTTCAGTAAGAGATTAATGAAACATACTTCACATCTTCCAACTTCTTTGTTATAACTGAGCCAACTGATGAAAAAGCAGCAGAAGCCTTCTGCCCAGCCTGAGACAGGGTTTCGGAAGTCTTCTTATATCTATATTCAAACAGCCAGAGGTAAATAGGATTCCATTAGTAAGTCTACCCTTACTGCCTGAACTTCTGCTCCATTTTAATGCAAAAGTCTAAAAAAGCCACATGAATCTTAAGACTTTGAATTAAGACTGATAGCCAGGATATCTCCCAATCATGTCCCAATCACAACAATCTTAAATTCTACAGCCAGTTAAATTCTACAGCCAGCCATATGAATGGTGTCTTTAGCTTTATTATTTAAGTCACTTTGTCATCAACTCATGTTTCAGGGAAGACTCACCTATAAATCAATTTGCTTTTTCTTGCTCTGGGGCCACTGGAAAAGGGACTTAAGCTGTAGGCCGAACCTAATATTGCTAAATTGTGTGTGGTTCCAGTGAAAAAATTGAGGTGATTAAGTGAGAGCAAAGACTTTGGGCTCAATCTCAGTATTACAAAACTGTTCTGTATAAGCTTTTTACCTCATGCATACAGTAACTGCAGATCTTTCAGATATTCACTATATCAGTGATGTTAAAAATGACTGTTTCATCTTTGGAATTTATCGCTAAAATCCAAAGCTCAAGTGACCGTGGTGTTGTACATTTCTTTTCATACATAAGGGAAAGATTTACAATAGTTTGCCAATTAAGAGGGTGTGGGATGGGAGAAGGATATTGCATTTGATTTCCACCATCAAAATGGTGCTATGTGCTGCCAAGACAGACACTGCTTTTTCCCCCATTTATGCAGACTAGCAAGGAGGGCACTATAAGGACAGGGCTGACAGAAGGCCCATGGGAGCAGGGACTCACCAAGATTTTGGTGAAGCTTCGTTTTACCTTAAACTTGATACCCTCAAGAACACTGCTACTGTTCCTTCACGTTTGTAAGAAAAGAAAGTTTGACTGGTAAATAGGTTTAAAAATTTGCCAGCACAGGAACAGTTTTCACTTAACACGGATTCATGATACACTGAACCAATGACAAGGACATACGCTGAAGTGGAAGTCACATCTTGCCAGCCTTTGGTAAGGTTTTGCCTCAGTTCCTGCAATGAATTGATTCCCAGTTTTCTCTTGATTTCTGCTAGATGCTTCTCCTTGGCCGCTAGCACCTGGGAGAGCGTCTGGATTTCCTCTTCTACCTAGGGCAGTATATAGTTCAAGGAAAAAGACAAGTTACCAAGTACGGTAAGCAGTTAGCATGCTTCATTTAGAAAGTCATTAACTGAAGAACATTAAGCATTATGAAGTCATTTACAATGGGTGCCATGTTTTAACATTTCATCTTATCTTTTAGAAAACCATTGATGAAAAAGTGTCTTTTCCCTCTGTT